GCAAATGATTCTTTTAAATAAATGATTTACTGAAATGGCTATGATTGACATTTCAATTTGAGCCATAAGCAAAAATACATTTGCCAGTCAGATGTATTTAAGATCAATTTAAATAGTTTATTTATGCTTAAAATATATTTAAACTCCCCTCTAATAAAAGCGACGTAATGAAACTTCTGCACAAAAATTTTGATGAAAAGTAAAAAAATAAAGATTGACATCATAAAATTGAGGGTAGACAATAAACGAAAGTTTAGCACAACAATTAATGAGGTTTAAAGAAGATATTTTGTTAATATACATAAAACTGACAATATCACATATAAAACAGGAATAATATGAATTTTGGGTTCATGCAGTGTGCTCAGTATGGTTGAAAATTATAAAAAGACTTTTAAATGTTTTTGGAATATCTATAAAAAAAATTTGGTTGCATCTGCACAGGATGGAGCATCTCTAAACAAAAAGTATATTCAAAATTTAGATGTTATTCGTCAATTTTGTCATGGAATACATCTTGGAGTATGTATTCCACACGTATGTACACACTTTGTAAGAAAAAAACATGATATTGAAGATTTAAGCGGCACCTGTAATAATGATAATAATTAAAATTCTTTTCACAAAGGAACTAATTTTTAAGTAATAAAAATGATAAGTGTGAAGATGATTATGACTACAATGATTTACTAAAAAAACTCACGCAAGTTGATAAAATACATCGAGTATGTCAAGTGTTTGAAATCAAGTTTTCCAATCAAAAGTCAAGATTACTTGAAAAAGAAATTGAACTTCATCTTGATGTAAAAACTTGCTGAAACACAATACCAAAATATATCGAATATATATCCCAACATGATATACTTTTTTACTTTGATGATATTTCTGTCTGATTTTTAAGGGACTTAAGCTAATCTTAAAAATATTTTTTATTCAAAAATTTTTAATTCCTGTTTTATTTTTTTATATAACATATTTAGAGGGTGGGAGCAGTTCAAGTTTTTATAACTACAATTTGGAAGATAAACCCAGATTTGGACAATGATCATGGCCAATTAAAAGCTAATTAAAAGCAACAATCAGCAAAATTAATACTTAAAAATATGAAATTTTTATGCTAAACTTTATTCATATTTATTTTCATTTTTACATTAAAAAATAAAAATTAATACGAATAACAAAACAAAATTTTAATTTGGCAACCATTTTTTGAAACTAATTTTGAATTTTTTCTTGAATGAAATTAAAAAGCTTAAAGAAATCTGTCTCTGGATGATATGCTTGAGCCATTGAAAAATACAAAGATCAATATCTCTTAAACCATTTCTTAAAGCAATTTTCAAGTTTTCATCTGCTTCTTGAGTCCCCTTAAAAATGTTTAATAATGTGTGATCAAATCAATCAAATTTGGTCAACCTCAACCTCATTCAATCCTTGGTCAACCTCAACCTCATTCAATCCTTGGTCAACCTCAACCTCATTCAATCTCAATCTTTTGATATTATATGACTAAAAGTCATCTATAAAAACTTTGGTAAAAGTTTAAGACCAATGGACACAATTTTCTTCCCATAAACAATTTTTGAAATGATTTTGTAATACTTATTACTTGTAGCACGAGGGCATGGTGTTGTAAAAAACTAATCTTATTGGCAATTGCCAATAAGATTAGTTTTTACAACACCATGCCCTTATGGTTGCATATCAAAAACAATTATTTCAAAAATAAATAAATAAAAGTTTTATCCTTTTTTAAAGTTTTATTCAATTTTTTGTGCTAGGTTTGGAATAGTGGTATGAAGCATTTTTGCTCTTTGCTTCTTAGACGTGTTGTTCAAAAAAGAAATTGGTCTATTTTGAAGCAAGTTTAATATTTGGCAAGAATAATAAGTTTGAGATAAGATAAAAAAAGACTATTATGAAAACTTAATTTTATTTGAATTAAAAGATGAGGAAAAGACTATTATAAAGTTGTGCTCTAGTACTTAAGATTGTCACATTTATACAAAAAGAAAATGTTTCAAAAATTCAAAGATCACTTCAAAATCACACAAACATTAAATTATGAAAAAAGAAAACTCTAAAAATAAATAAATTTTAAAAATAATAAATTTTTTTTTAAAATTTTAAAAATATTAATATATATAAAAATTTTTTTAAGAAAAATTAAAAAAAAAATTTGATTTCCAGAAATTTCTAGATTTCCAGAATGCATAGTTCATAGTTGTGCCAAATATTATGATAAATTTAAGGCATTTTTTGATGAGGAATTAATTGAGATTGATGAAGAAGAAGAAATTCAATTTAATCAATGGCAAAGTACTGATAGATCACAATTAATTACTCAGACAGTTAACTTATTTGAGTATAAAGAACTAGTTGTTTCTCAAATTAATCATCTAATTTCACATTCATATATTGCTAAATGTTAAACTCGCTATTTGAAAGAGCTAAAAAATAATTTAGGTCGCAATGAATGTATTATACAGGCAGATTTTGCAGAGAACTAACAATTTGTTATACAGGATGAAATACAAAGTTATCATTGGAATAAACAACAATGAACACTTCATCCTGTTGTTATATATTTTAAGAAATTTTCTAAAACAAATATTCAACATAAATCATTCTGTTTTTTAAGTGATGACAATGATCATGATATATGCTTTGTGTATGAATTTCAAAAGAAAACTGTATTAAAGAATATTTAGTTAGTATCAATAAAATTTATTATTTTTCTGATGGATGTTATGCTTATTATAAAAACTATAAAAACTTTATAAATCAATGCCACCATAAGGAAGATTTTCAGATTACAGCTGAATGGGTATTTTTTGCAACCAGCCATGGAAAATCCACTTGTGATGGCATAGGTGGTACCGTTAAAAGAATAACAGCAAGAGCAAGTTTGCAAAGGCCATTAGAAAACCAAATATTGACAGTTGATATATGCTTGAGTTTTGCAACACCAATATAAAAACATATCTTATAAAATTACCAAAGAAACAGTTAATGCAAGGCAACAGTATTTAAAGGAGCAATTTGAAACAGGAAAAACTGTTCCAGGTACCAGAAATTATCATCATTACATACCCATTTTAAAATTTTAAATTAGTTTTAAAAGAACAAGCAAACATCAATGCGTTGACAGATTTATACTGTCAAAAGCAATAATGTCTGATGTTGTAATTGTACCAAATTTAAATAATTTTGTTGCATGCAAGTACGATTCCTTTTGGTGGATAGGCATGGTTACAGAAATTTATATTACTACAAATGATATTCAAATTAAGTTTATGCATCTTCATGGTCCTTCTCAAAACTTCATTTGGAGAGATGATACCTATTGGGTACCATTGCCAAGTATGATTGCAGTAATCAAAGTCCCAACAACAAAATCATTGATGTGAATGATTATAACACAATAACTAATTAATTTTAATTTTTTGAGTTTTTAACTTTAAAATTTTGTATATTACATTTGTTTCTTGAACTTCTTTCCAAGTGCTCTATTTGTTTTGGAGTCTTTGTTTTTAAGTTTATTAAATGAAGTTTAATAAATATGAAACTAATGTTTTATAAGTAATAAATTTAAGTATATTTGAAGATGTTTTTATTTCTGATTTAAGACCACAATCTGATTGTTTGTAATAACTCCAACTAAACTATTCAATACAACTTCTGAAATAAAAAACTAAAATTGCAATATACATCCGCATTTATATAATTAGTGTTGTTGACTAGCTGTTTCTTTTTTCAAAGAAAAAAAAAACAGCTAGTCAACAACAACTAAAAGAACAGTTTGGTGTAGCTAAAACTGCTTCAGTTACAAAACTGTCAAATTACCACACTTTTTTTTCTTGTTTAATTTATCAAAATACCTGTTTTTTAAGCAATAAATTTAAGTAGATTTGACCATGTTTTTATTTCTGTTTTAGAAAAGACCACTCTCCAATTCTTTGTAATAACTACAACTTAACTATTTTGTACAACTTTAAAAAAAAAAAAAATCAAGCTACATCAACATTTTTGTGATTAGACTCGCTACAGTAAAATTGTGGTAAACGTTTAAATTTTAGGAGTAATGTTAGTTTTTAAATATTTTAAGATGTTTCATTGGATTTGTTGGCCCAAAATATGTAAAGGTACAAATATTCAGCTTTCCAACACACATATAACAGAAACTAGGACCAAAACCATTTTTAAAAATGGCAGATTTTTGTTGGTTAGAGGTAAACTTAAAATAGCTATATCTTAGTAACTGATTGAAATTAGACGATAAAATTTTTAGGATGTTCATAATTTACTAAAATCTTTAAGTGGTTTAAAAATCAGCAAAAACTGAGACTTAGGGTTGCATTTTCAAAAAAATTGGAAGTTTTCACATGAAATCGCCCTACCTTGAAATTTGAACTTTATGAATAGAGTGTTCTACTATGTCACATCTGAGAAACGTGGACACAGGTCTACTATTTCACACCTGAGGAACATTTTAGACACCATATCAGACACAATCATTATCATAATCATCATCATTATCATCATCATCATTGGTATCATTGATATGGCCATTAACATCAATTATAGAAATAAATTACTCCATAACAAACACTTGTGCTACAATTTTTTTGTTAACTTCAACCAGTTTAAATTAACAACACAACTGTAATAAACAAATTGACATATTGACAAAAATTCACTCCTAGTGAATTTTTTATAAAAATAAAAGTTATGTTTTTATATTTCTAAATTTGATTATCAATTTTGGCTTATATAGTTTTTTAGGTTGTTAACTGGTGTTAAATTTTCAATTTTCACCAAACATGAAAACTAAAAAAAAAAATTCAAATGGATTTATAGGGTTTCATTATCTCTTTTTAAAATAATAAACAAGAAAAAAAGAAAATTTATTTGCATTAAAAAATTAATTAAAGAAAGAAATAATTAAAGAAGAATAATTAAAGAATCTAAAAATTTATATTTTCAGGTAAAAAGCATACTTGAGTGATTTTCCTTTACAAACAGGAACCTTTTCTGCATCAACTTTGGAGTCCAAATCATTATAAAATTGTAATGTGAAATATTCCTTAGAAGACATCTATATCTAAAGATATCTATTAATAATGATATCTACTTTTTTTAATATATAATTATATATAAGCATATTTTAAAGATGCAAAGTGTATTTTAAACATGCCACAAATATGAGCTTTGTATGTAAAAAAAATTATAAGCATAAAAAATAAAAGATGACAACAAGAACAAAAACAACTTTAAAGTTATTTTTACTGTTACTTTATTGTTTTGTTGAATAAAAGAATTGTTAACTGTTTTTAAATGTTTAAAATATGTATTGAATTTATTTAATGGTTGATTTTTTTAGCTTTGCGTTTAGTCTATTTTATCTTTCATAAGCCTTTTAAGTTTAAAAAAACTAATTTGAAAACAATAATTTTAAAGTGTTTTGTATTTATTAGCATTTTGCATAATCATATTAGGTTGATGATGCAAACACGTGTTGGAAACATAAACGCAGTTTTAAGTAATAACAAAAATATGAAAAAATAGTAAGAAAAAAATCTATATCCTTTCATTCTAACTAAGCTCTTTATATTTATTGAACAGCATGAACAAATATTTTTAAAATGACGCAGATCTGAAAATGCATCTTTCCTTAAAATAAACTTTTTTTTTTTTTTTTGCTTACTCAATGAAAAAACAATTATTATTACTCGTAGTTATATGATTACTCGTTTTTTGCAAGCAATGTTTGTTTTTGTCTTTCACCGCCACCGGAAAAAATAAACTACCAAGTAAGCACAAGACGTCTAAAAAACGTATTTTTTAATACATTTTTTAGCCGTTTTAAACACGTCTTATGCTAAGTATGGTTGTTTAAACCTATTAAAACGTTTTTTTGACGAGTTAAACACATCTTCTGTGTTTGTGTGTCTGTGTGTGTGTGTGTCTGTGTGTGTGTGTGTGTGTGTGTGTGTGTGTGTGTGTGTGTGTGTGTGTAACCCTTTAGTTCAATCTTAAGCACAATAAGTTCAATAATATAAGCACAATAAATTGCTGAAATTGGCGTCTACTAATTACGCTAAAGATAGAGTCTAAAATAACGACTGAATTTAGAATTTAAAACTAAGCAGGAACTTAAAACAAAAAAGAGCTCTAATTATTTACAATTTACAAGATTTAGAATTAAAATCATAAGATCTAAAATTTAAATGGATAAAAACTAAAGTAAAAGAAGTAAAAAAAAAAATAAAAAGATAAAATAATGAACACCTTGTAATCGCTACAGTAACCGCTAATTACTTCATTCCGTCATTGTGACCGCCGCTTGCCACAATAATTGCACTAATTTGTATAAATTTACATTAATTTAATTAATTTTTAATTAATTAAAATAACTTTACATTGATTATTAAGTTATTAAGTTAATACTTTATACAATTTTATAACAAAATTAATAAATTGTTTTAAAAGTGATTTTTACTTTCCAAAAAATGACCACAGCAGATTACGAACCGTTGTCCTATTAAGGTGGACACAATAAAATGTATATAAACTGACCATAGGGTTTTGGTGGGACAGGGTTCATAATTTTGCGTATATTTTATACATAGATAGTTTTTATTATATGAATTAGTTATTTATTAAGATTTGTTAAAATATGTAGTTTTTTTTCTTTAAACTTTTATATATATATATTTTTAGGTGCCCAAATAAGTCCTTACGGTCTTCACACAGAGCACCGTGGATGAGCATTTAATTGGAAGTTCACGCTTCCTTCCTAACCGATGTTGCCCAGAAGTGAGGTTTACACCACGGATCTTTTGATTCTGAGGCAAGTACGCTGCCACTGCGCCACGGTTGCTCAAATCAAATCTAATTTAAATGTTCGCTTCTTTGATATCGAATCCATTTTGGTTAGGGAAATCCATTTGGGTATTAGAGTTGTCATTTTATTATCTTAACCGGTAACTGATATCAATTGTCTTTAAAGTTAAACTTAATTTTTCTCAAGAATATTTTTCGCTTTATAAAACTGCGTTTTTATCAAGTAATCAAGTTTTTAACAATACTTTTAACATTGTCATTCAAGTAAACGATACTTTTGGTATTGTTGTTCAAGTAAACAATACTTTTGGCATTGTTGTTCAAGTAAAAGATACTTTTGACATTGTCGTTTAAGTAAACGATACTTTTGGTATTGTTGTTCAAGTAAACGATACTTTTGGCATTGTGTACATAATCGATAAGGTTTAACAAGAGGAAGTTTAAACTGTTTTTAGTTTTGAAACGAGAGACCGGAAATCAAGGTTATTAGAATAAATCCATATGTCAGTTGTGGAAGCGTAAACGTTAAGGTCGACTTTTTCATAGTCAATCGCTTTCTTCACATTGTCACTAATGAATTTTATAATTTAGAAACGCTGTTAGATATTTATAACATTGTTAAACATTTATAACACTGTTAGATAACACTGTTAGATATTTATAACAATTTTAGATGATACTGTTAGATATTTATGTAGCACGTTTATACTTTCCTTTTATTTCTTTCTCCCTATTTTATGAAAACACTTTTTACTATAGTAAAAAATGTTTTCATGAAATAGGGAAGAAAGAACAAATATAGTTTATTAAAAAAAAATTGTGTGTATATATATTAGCTATTTAGTCTTTGCTATTTATCTAAAAATATTTAAAACAAAGGTTACTCTTACTTACATTTGTTGAACGAAAACAACTTACCTTACAGACCTTAAGAGTATTACAACTTGCAGTAAACAAAATCAAAAAAGACGAAATATCACTAAGTAACGCTTCAAAAAAATTTCTTTGCAGGTGTATGCACAACAAAATCACATGTTACAGGCAGGGGTGTGGAGTCGTAAAAAAAAAGTATCAACTCCGACTCTAATCGTTGAAATTTTCAGAGTGCGACTCTAACTCCGACTCCAAAGCAAAATTTTTGAAAAGTTCTTTATATTCTTTAAAAAATATTACGCGATAAATTAAAAAAAATATTTTTTTCCAAATATATGAAAAATTCTTTGAAGGTTAAATATTTTGTACATGCACGTGCAATACCGAGAAGTTTAACCATTGGAGTCGGTTAAACTTCTCGGTCGCAATTTTGTTTAGCGAATCCGACTCCTACTCCGGCTCAAGCTAAAAATGTCGCGACTCCGAATCCACAACCCTGGTTAAAGGCATATCTAAAGTTTTGTTACTTTAATTTTGTTAAGTGCTTAAAAGTTTAGCCTATTAAAGTTTTTGGCAGAAAGTTTGCAGATGTCATTGCAATAGTTGAAATTAATTGGTATCTACTTATCAAAGTCATATGTTTTTCTTTATAAATTGATTAGCCTAATAAACTAACCAATTATTTTTTTAGCTGGATATATTACTCTTAGACAAATACGTCATACGTGTTTCTTACGATGTTACGCGCTAACATTTCAAATTAACATTGTTAATACATATACGTGCAGAATTGTTGTTTTAGCAATACATCCGGCTGATACTTTTCTAGACTCGATCGTCATAATTTAACCGTTTGACGTAGTTGTATATTATTTAGTGCAATTCACAAAAAGTCTTGTAAAATATACAGGCTCGGAAGCAACCGGAAGGGCAGCAGGGGCATTTGCCCCCCCTCCTCCTCCAATAACTTTTCAAATAAATAATTTTGAAAAAAAAAAAAAAAAAAGCTCTTAAAATTATTTCGGGGCCCCTTAATCCAGCACTGCCCCCCAAACAAAATTTTTGTTCTTACGGGCCTGAGGTTTTAATTTTTAATACTGTTGTAAATTCATGTGTGTGCACATTTCAATTCCAGCAACCTGTTGTCGATTATTTTAAGACAAACAAACCTTAAAACACAATAAAAAAAAATAGTGAATATAAATGATATATATATATATATATAAATATATATATATGATATATTTTATTAGTTCTACATTTCAATGTATTAAACAAAAATTAAATGCGCTACATAAGATAACCTTACCTGCTAAGTGTAAGTTTCTAAAATTTCACACACATCAAGAATAAAAGAAAAAGTCTCTCACCTTTTTATTTAATAATAATAAACACGTTAAAAATATTAATATGAGAATTTAAGTTTAAAAAAAGTCTTTAACCTTTTTATTTAATAATAACAAACACGTTAAAAGTATTAATATTAGAATTTAAATTCGATACCTTATGCCTGAATGCCACATGTCTAAATTAGCAAGTTTTATACAAATATGAACAAGCAATATATAAACTTAGTAGTAAAAACATAAAAAAATTGCAAGTAAAAAATAAATAAATAGTTTTACAACTAATTTAAACTTACAGTTTAAAATAGCTAACTATAAAAGCATATTCAAACTTAAATATACAAATTATAACAATCCATATATAAATTTGCTAAGTTAAGTTACTACATGTCACGTTTAAAATAGAAATTTATACAAAAATACAAGTCATATATAGTCTTAATTATAGAAATAATTGCTAAACTAACCCTTTAGTATATCATATAAAAAAATTAAAAATATATTCAATGCTCTATATAGAAAATTTAAAATAAGTTTAACAACCTTCGTAATTACAAATAATAAAGTGTAATTTAAACTGTATTTATCCATTTGCCTTCTCTACTAAAATTTAATAAAAAAACCAAATAATTAAGCATATTTCAAGTTAATATAATAATAATAATATAATAGATAAACATAATTCAAATTACACTTTTTTAAAATAGCTTCACATTTAGTCGAAATGTGAAGCTATTTAAAAAATGGCAAATTAAATTTACTGCAACAAACCTTTATTTATGACTTAAATGTAGTTTAAGAAAAATGCAAATAATGGCTTCAGGTTTTTTTAATATTTAAAGAAACTTTTCTTTTTTTAATACAATTTTCAAAACCTTTTTACTACCCGTTATATTGAATCTAAAGAACAGTATTTTGGAGTCTTCCCAGTGGGCACCGGACCAAAAAAAGACGTCTTTTGAACGTTCAAAAGACGTCCAAAACGTTCAAATATTTACTACTGATCCTAGTTCTAATCGGTTTTGACATATATTAACAATATAAAGTTGTCAAAACACAATATTTCTATCAATTTTCACAAAAAAACCAAGAAAGAGCTTATAATTATGGAAAATTACCAATAAACGATCAAAACGTAATTTACTCGGGGAGAGGGTATAATTCAGGCAGATAATTGTAAATTATTTTTACATAATTTTAATCAGTTAGTTTA